ATATATATATATTGTAGACATTTGGAAAGTTAGCTGGGATGTGTCTTCCTTTGTTTGTGTGACCTGGATCCTTTCTTGATAAAGGAGGATACAGGGCCCCTTTTCCACCGCTTCCAGACAGTTCCTTGTTCCAGAAAGTTCCTTTTGCTGTCTGAGTTTCTGTGACACCAGTGTCTTCAGTTATCTCGGTGCCTCCAGTCTTCCCTGTGCCTCCAGTGACCCTTGATCTCCTGTGCCTCTGGCTCCAGTCTTCCCTGCAATCCTGTTCCTCCAGAGACTGTGACCCCTGTGTACTTTCACTTGTGCTTCCAGTGACCTCAGTACTCCTCTGCCTCCTGGAGACCCCTGTACCCTTGTGTCTCCAGCATACCCCATTTCTCTGGTGATCCCTGTGTCATCTCTGCACTGACCTAAGGTCTGTCCCCATTTTTGAGATTGTGTTTTGATTTGGTACTCAGGTTCTTTCCCTAGTCAGCTGCTGTCTGCATGGGTGGGACCAAGGGCCGCAACCTATAAGCCATCCTGCAGCAAAACCCATTACCCCTTGCGGAATGCACTGGTAAACACCATGCAGCTTCTTTGATTCTGTGCCTTGCCCCTTCCTAAGTCTCACACCTCTGACAACCTGCATAGAGGATCTATAATTCTGCTAGCCCATGGCGCCATTTCAGGGTCATTTGTGATAGTATGTGGCTACCTTAAAGCAAAGTTAGGAACTGCATGGCCAAATTGATATAGTTTTACAAAGAATCCTTAAAAAGGTTATTTGAGATACTCCCAAGCCTGCATGTACCTCTCAATGGGCTAAGTGAGGTCAATTCACAAAAGCCCGTGGTAAGAAAGGTGGGCAAGAAAGGTGAATCAGGCCCGGCGCTACCGCAAGGCAAGTCAGGAGGCCGCCTTACGGCGCTGCAGGGTGAGGGCGAAAAAAAACAGGGCATTTTGACAAGTACTTGTACTTGTCAAAATGCCCCGATTTATTTTTATTTTTTTACAGGGGGTCGGGGACAGATTAGGACAGTCCAACCATTACTGAGCCCGTTTCAGGCCAACACACTACTCACTTACTATACCTTCTCCCTACCACCAGTGATTGCGCTAGGTTGTGGCACTCTTTGGTTTCTTTTTGTTTTCTAGTACTCTCAAGTCTTCAGTCTCTGAAGACTCATTTACTGTATGAGTAGGCCATATGGTCTAAGCATTGGAAGCTATTATATTTATTAGAACAGTTAAGCGTCAGTATTATTCCCTTTTTTTCCATTGGTCTCCACTGAAAGAGTTAAAATACTGAGGTGTGCTGCGTCATTAGGTGGAGTATTGTTTGTGCACACTCCGCACTCTGTTCCCTCCTTCAGCGCAAGGTGGCATCTTCCTGCTATTGCTCCTATTTGCAAGAACCTTCCGGCTCGACTCCGATTTGTCCTTGCCTACAGTGACCGGGCCAGCTTTGGCCATTTGAGCCTCTCCTGCTTTCAGTAGTTGGCTCTTGATTACCCAAGTTCTACCTGGTATGCTCAGTTAAGTTGATTCCATCTCTCAGTATGCCATGCAGGGTGGTGTTGAGAGGAGAGAACTGTCAGCTGTCACATGAAGCCCTGCTCTCCTCCCACACCTCCCCACTCAGCCTCCTGTGTCCTCAATCCCTTCTTCTAAGGGAAATATGAGGGGTCTGTTGAGACCTCTGATATTCCCCAAAGTCCCCAACAGTAAAGTAAAAATAAAATAATTAAACCATTTTTGGCCTAACAAAATGTTTATTTTCAGTTTGGTCTACAAATACAATTTCGGTGCATCCCTAGTAGTGAAATGTTAAAGCTCAAAGTAAACATGGGTGCTGGTGTTGGGGCTTCTTGTATTCAGTAAATTGGCCACCACTGGGTTGGACCCTCTATCCTGTTTTTTTTATTGCTGTCTTTGTCCCTGTTAGGGAGAGTCACCCCTCAATTTTAAATTCTACATTTTACAGTTGTCCCCAGAAAAAAGATGCAAGTTTTGGCTATACATACACTTTAAAAAGACAATTGTAAATATGTTTTTATGTAATTCATCATACTAGGTGTTATCAGCGCTTACAAAGATCATGAGGGAATGCTGGTATCAGAATCCATCAGCAAGGCTTACTGCTCTGAGGATGAAGAAAACATTAAACAACCTGAAAAATTTATTGGGACAAAGGAAACAAGAATGGTGAAAAAGTCACTTGTATGCACATCTGAAAACACAACACTAAAATCGCAAACCAGAATCCAAAGCAGAAATGAAGACACCAGCTAACATGTTTGTTGTATTACAGGTATACCAGCTTTTTCTAAGTGCTAGTACTGGCATAGATACAGTAAGTTTGTCTGAAAAACGCATTATTGCTCACTGCACATAAGCCCCAGAATTAAACCTCTTGAGCTTTACTGCTAACACAGCCAGACTAATGGTTTTAAACTACATAACTGTACAAAAAAAGTGATAATAGCAGTAAAAAACAGAAAGATGCAAACGGAATAATAATTTATATTGCATAATTCTGGTGTTATATGTGAACTGAGCATTTAATGTGCACCTGTGTCTGAGAGTTGTGCAATGATAAAATTAATATAAAATATCATATTTACCTCAGACCTACCAGACATATCTAGTAAAGCTGGTAACTATAAAAGGCTATTTATTTAGTACTGGAGCTGTGAAGGTTAGTGTAAGCAGTATAATTCATTCAAACAATGCCTTTTCTTCTTATGGTTAAATGTAAGCTTTTTATAAAGTAATATGAAGGAATGCAGTGCCTGTCAAAAACTGCATTTGATATACTTTGCTTGTAAATATTTGTCATAAATATTATTGCCTCTGTACCGGAAAGGCTGTTTTATGTGGCATAAGTCAGTGCAAAGAGCAATGAAGATGTGCCAGGCCTAGTAACCAAAAGCAACCACTCAGATCTTAGTTCAGCAGGGTCACAACAACTAAGAAATTATTTCTGTAGGTTCCCTACCCATTGCATATAAATTATTTTTTGCATGTCTTGTTTGAATGTATACATGGCAGTGTAAGCCTTGGGACTGATTCATTAAACCGAGAGAAACAAATGAAAGCATAAAAGTAGAGTTGTTACAAGAAGCAACCAATCAGCTTTCATGTTTTATTTTATAAAAAAAGAAAAAAATAATTCTAATTGCTTACTATCTGTAACAACTACAATTTTGTGTTCATTTTCTCTAGTTTTAATTCGTTTGGACCCATTGTGCTAACAATATCCAGAAAATAACTATGTCAACCAGCTTTGTAGGCACCTAGAAATATATTAGCAATAAGGTTGCACACTGCCAAGGTCTATGTTGAACTAATTTTATTGTTCCTAGTCACTCAAATGTACCACCAAACTCTGCTCCTCATGTGACGTCATTCCTGCTCTTTTGGGGCATAGTCATAGAAATGTCTAAGTCCTAAGTGAGGCCAAAATGTATCAGAGAGGAGGAGTTCCGACAAGACATGTGAGTGACTCTGAACAATTACGTTTTTCCCAGTTTGGAGCTCCACAGGTGTGCAGCCTCCATTCTTTATTGCAGGATGTTTTTGAGGAGGAGCCGTGCCTCTTCAGTGGCCATAGCACCTTCAGCTGGTTGTTTCAACCAAGAGACACCTGGAGTGGTACCAACTTGTCCCTTTGGCTAAACAGAAATACATTAGGTGAACCTGATAGCAACAACCTGATGCAACAACTGTAATGACGGATCACAGCAAGCAAACTTAAAGTGGAACTCCAGTCACAGACATGTATATAAACTTTTAAAGCAGACGTAAACCCTGCAGTACGCTGCCAGAAAAACTAATAAGATAATTCACTAAGCTCACCATATCGACAATAAAGACTTAAGTCGGCGGCAACTTGGCTTATTTCTGGCTTGAACTTCCTATATTCCTCCTTCTACTGACATCATCCACAGACAATGCCAAGCCTCATTTTTAACGCAGCGCACTGCAAGTGAATGAACCCCAGTGATGTAGTTTGTCACATAGGCTTTCAGGAAGGAAGAGAAGAATTACAAAACCGACTGTGATTACATCATCACTAGTTCTCTCGCTCTGCAGATCTCTGCATGGCTAGGATGCCAGGACTGTGCCTTCACGTGCACATGCGTCAGCAGCATCTCTAAAAGCAGTTACAGCGGTATCTTAGCAAGGGGAAGACTGTGGATGATCAATATCTGATCTACCAACAGTATGTATTATAAGTCTGCTAACTGTGTATGGATGAAAAATTGAGTCTACAGGTGAAACTCAAATAATTAGAATATCGTGCAAAAGTAATTTCAGTAAGTGCTGCAAAAGGGGCCCAAACCAAGTACTGAGTACATATGCATGCTTGTACTTTTCAGAGGTCCAATATTGTTCTATGTACAATCCTTGTTTTATTGATTGCATGTATTAATCTACTTTTTTGAGGTTGTGGATTTGGGGTTCTTGGGGTTTTCATGAGCTGTAAGCCATAATCATCACAATTATGACAAATCACGACTTGAATTATCTTGCTTTGCATGTAATGAGTTTATCTCATATATTAGTTTCACCTTTTAAGTTGCATTAGTGAAATAAATGAACTTTGCACGATATTCTAATTATTCGAGTTTCACCTGTACTTTCGCTTTAGGGCAAAAAAAGTTATCTTTTGGCATGTGTTGTACAATGTTCACATTTCTTTTGTTTACTGTATAATTAAGTAATTAGTGTACCAGATACTACAGCCAGTGTTGAACTTCCGGCACTGCTGCTATGAGAGCTGAGGTTCTCATTTACTCTCCCTTTCCTCACCCCTTGTCCATTCAGAGAACACCTTGGGAGGAATTTATCAAAACTGGAGCAGCTGTGCATGGCAACCAATCAGCATATCTCTTCAGTTTGTTCAGTTAAGATTTGAAAATGAAAGAGAGAAGCCGATTGGCTGTCATGCACAGCTGCTCCAGATTCTGTCTGCTCCAGTTTTTCCTTGTATTTTGTACACATAATACAAGGTTTTCTGTGAATGGATCTCCCTTTGTTGATTCACCGAACACCTTGTATTTGCATTTTTATGAATGGACAAGGGAGAGGAAAGGTAGGGTAACTTGACACAATTGTTCATTGTATGAGCCACAGCGCTGGAAGCTCGGCACTGGCGGTACTATTTGGTAAACTATTGAATGATTTATACAGTAAACAAAGGAATACCTCATGATAAGAGGTAACTTTTTTTGCCTGAGGAATTTCTATACATGTCTTCAGCTGGACTTCTGCTTTAAGTTAACAATACCTTATGTTTTTGGATAGTGCTATTTGCACTGTTTCAGCATACCCTAAAGATGGACCTTAGACTGAATTCTTAACTGAAACAGTGAAGATCTAAGTGCCTCTTGTGCTAATTTGTAAATGTATGCATGTATATAAAGTAATGAATTCAAACATGTGTTGCTGGCTTGCTGAAACCATCATCTTTCAACAAATAATATACTGTACATTTAAATGCTCAATTCACGATGCTGAAAATCATATGTTATTTGCCTTGACATTTGATATTTTAAGTCATGTGACTGTTATTTCAGCTCTCATTTGCCATCACAGCTAAAAAAATGGCAGTCATTATGCAAATAATAATTCTTATAGTTTAGTGAATTAAGCCTTTTATCTTAAAACTGTAGCCTGCCCAGAAGACATTCAGTTTTGAGCTACCTATAAGCATGAGATAACAATAGGAAGAAACGTGTAGTGTTAAGTCAAACTTTTGTCTATGAGTTATCATAGAAAGACATAAAAAACATCTTCCATAGATGAGCATCCCCAGAAAAATCAATCTGTAGAAGTTTTACCATCTTAAGATAATTAAAAAAATGTTCTTGTTCAACATTATCTGGCTTTTGTTTGAACATATGCTTTCATATGGCAAATCAGCATTATTTATAGTACAATCTAGTATATGAAAGATTGTTCACAAGTCTAGTGAGTATTGTCTACTCTATGTCATAAGTTTTAATCAATAAAGCAGTGCAAACAACAATGAGAAAATGCAAACAACGTAACCCGTATAACTAGATTAGTTCCTTTAGATTAAAGTGCTTTTCCTGTTACTCTCTGCTATATCCAAAAAGGCAGTATGTTAAGATGTAAGTATTGAAAACCTTCTTTTAGATGAATGGAGCTGGTAACACAGATGACTTTCTCACCATTATTGACTAATATTAATTCAAATAATCAGGAAGGGCTTTTCTTCCCCTATTGGAGCAAATTGGACAATGCTTCATAAGAGGTTGTTTGGTTTTTTTTTGCCTTCCTCTGGATCAACTGTGGGTGTTTGGGTATAGGATTCTGTTCATGGAGGTTTTCTATTTATTTATTCATCTCCTTTTTTCTCTCTATTGGTTGAACTCAATGGCCCTGTGTCTTTTTTTCAACCTGGCTGAATTCAGCAGCCACGGCACCCATGGTTGCCTAAATACAGTGGTGTTGCTGAACAGTGGCTGGTGATTTTTAAATCTACTTTAGTTGAGTTGAATAGTGATTGCAGGGACACTCATGGCCCGAATTTCAGCTGATTCAGTATTAACTGGCTGAAAATGAAACCATTGAGGCCCAGCTTTTGGAGTGTCCTTAGTGAAAGTAAACACCCTTTGCCTTTTTACCCTGCTATCTGCATTTGTCAAAAGCAGGCACATTGTAAACTATTTAAGAGCCACTTATTAGGCTTGGGCATTTTTTCTCTTTGTCTAGCACTTGACAGGACCCATTCATTCATTTGACAGTAATCAACTGAAACATTATGCAGAGTGTAAAGTTTTATTAGAATAGAAAAGACCAGAAAGTGCAGGTCATCTCATCTACATGAAATATTAAATCAATGATACGCTCAATTTAAAGATTGATAAAAGATAATGGGGGCTAACAGTGATTTCAACTTCTGGTCCCATTTGTTTCTAACAATATCTTAACCCAAAGGTTTAGAGAGAACTGTTCCTTCCATGCACACATATCTAAGAAAAAGGTTAGAGCGTATGACTAGAAATAGACTATAATTCGATTGGATGTTTTAACAGCTGAACAGTCATCTGTATAAATTATCTTTTAATTTACTTGCATATCGGGTACATTCTAGTCAGCAATGAAAATTTAGCCTTAAGATGCAAACGGAGAGAACAGCCTGAATTTGAATCGGAACCATTTTCATCCAGGCATTAATGTAGTGGATTGTACACATTAGGCAGATATAGGGCACTTCCAATAAATCCACATTGAGCTGCACACAAAGATCCTAATATTCAAGTGCTGTATTTTGCAGAATAGAATGTATAAAAAAATGGTGTTTCTTATGGCATCAGTATTCACATCACTCCTCAAAGATTTATATAACCAATGTGTACAATAATCACCAATCACAGGCGGGTAGGTGTGACCATCCCCAACCAGAAACACAGATCAGGATGCATCTGATGGGGAACAGAAGGCAATATGTTCAAATCTCATCCTTAGTTCACTTATGTGAACAAAACTCTGCCCCTATCAACAAATACAGAAAGGGTGATATTAAAATGTCAATACTAAGACGGTTCATATGGCCATGAGCGAAATTCAAGCCTGACTTTAAAAGTTGAATGTGATTTGGTGGTGCAAAAAAGGAGAACGAAAGAAAGAAGTTATTACAAAGCATAGGTCCAGGAAGTAGACTCATATTGCCCTCTTACTGACCTTATTAGAAAATTTGGTGAGCTGGGTAAAGTTTCTGATTTGAACACACTTCCAGTGTTTACTTAAATGATACTAAACTCAGGAGTTAAATCTTAAAAATGGATTCAAGTACTTTAACTATTCACAAAAATGTATCTTATTTGTGTGTCACTCGGCTGTAGATC